AGCAGAATTTTAATTTTGTAAAAATTTTAAATAATAAAAGTATATATTGACCTAATTTTAATATATATACTATACTTTAATATATATATATATATTTATTTATTTATTTTAAAAGATTTTATCAGAAAATTAAATAGGTATAACTAGTAATAAAACTAGTAAGCAATTATATAAATAAGTATATACTTCAAAAAAATAGAATTTGTATACTGCTTCTTTTGAAATAAATATATTGCTTATTTTATTTGAAATTAGTTGTTGAATTATTAATTTTAAAGTCTCTAATTGCAAATACTTTTTATTTTTAAAATCTATAATTTTAAATTTATTTTTTATTTTTATTTTTTTTAAACTTATATATTTGAATAATTAGATTTTAAACTAGTAGTAGTTTGTATAAAATTTGTAGAATTTAAATTAGTAGATATTTAAGATTTGTAAAATCTAAGCTAGTAGATTATTTATATAAAGTCTGAGAGATTTAAACTAACAGCTAGGTTGATTAAGTAGGCTCTAAACTAATATTTGAATAGGATCTAAAGTATAAGACAGGTTGGATTAGATGAGCTATAAACTGAGATTAGTTTTAATCAATAAGCTATTAAGTCAGATCTTGAGTTAGACAAGTTAGTTTATTTAGAAGATGAGTTCTATACAAGTAAACAAAGATTCAAAGTAGTGAATTAGGTGAGTTTATGAATTTGTAAATTGTAATAGTTTAAAATTGTATAAAAATTTTTATTATATAAATAAAAGTCTAAACATATAAAAATTTGCATATTTATGTATTAGAGTTTTTATTAATTAAACTAGATCATATTTACTTAGTGATTGCAAATTATTTTGTTTCAGTAATTTATAAATTATCAATTAAATAAAATAGATCAAAAACAATTTCATCTTTAAATTTTAATTTTAAATTTTAGATTTTAAAATAATTTTATTAATATATATAGTACTAATATTAAATTTTTAGTTTATTTATATAAAATTGAAAGATTGAATTAAAAATTAGGAAAAATCTAAATAGCGTCCCTATACACAGTGTGCTTCTATAACAAAACTATATTTATAATATAAATTATATTAATGTTAGAATTAGGTTAAAGTTGGGGTTAAAGTAAGGTAAAATTGTAAAAAAACATTTTTTTATATTATATAACAGGGTTACCTAGTCAAAATTTTGAGATATTAGTAATTTTTATAGTAGGAGATATACAGTACATAGGATACCGTATAGTTTAGTTCTAAAAATTATATGAAAAAAAAAATTAAAAAATTTTTTTATATAATCTTTAATCTAATTTTTCATTTAGTAAAAAGTTCAGAAAATCAAAATTGGTAAAATATAAAATATATAGAATTATATATTGAACAAATTTGTTTAAGAGGTCAGAACAGGTTACTTAAGTAAAAAAAATTTTATATAGAAAAACTAAAAATTATAATATTAATATATAGCAAACTTTTTTTTATTAAGATACCTTTTTGATTGTCTAATTGAAATTATTTAAAGTATAATTTTACATATATTTATTATTTTAAAACTGTTAAATTTTCTTTTAGCAGAATTATATTTTAAATTGTATCAAAATTACAAAATTTTAATTTGGCTTATAAAATATTTTATTTATTTTTTCTTAATATATTTATTCATAAAATTTAATTTAAAGTTAATATATAAGAGAAAAAATGTTATAGCTTTAAAATTATAAATAATTCTATATATTTTTGCTTTAATTTTATATATATAAAAATTTATACTGTGATAAATCATTTGACTGATATATATTAATTTTATTATTAAATTAAAATTTAATTTATAAATATTATTTATAATTTAGAATAGTAATTTAATAATTAATTAAACTAAAAAAAATTATTTATAAATACTAAAAACAAATTATAATTTTTTAAATGATTTGTATTAGAGATTTAAAAAATATACTAGAAAGTATTAAAAGTAAAAATATCAAATAAATTTAAAAAATATTAAGATTTGAATAACTTTACAAAACAATAATAGATAATAGTAATAAAAATAAAGGCTAAAAGTATTAATTTTTGAATTAAAAATAAATTATTAAAAAATTTAAATAATATATAGAATATAAATTACTTTAGTAGATTTATTACAAGAATAAAAAGTTTTTTAATATAATAGTAGTTGTTTTAAAATCTTAAAAAATCTTAGTAATAATTTTTTATTAAAAAAATATTTAATAATATAAAATTGATCAGAAAGTTTAAATAAAAAATTTATAAACAAATTTTAGATATAAAAATTAGTAATTAACTATAAATAAAAATAGAAATAGCAAAATCTTAAATAAATAATAACTAAAATTGCATATTGTACTTTACTAATATAGCAAAGTTAGATATAATACTTGTAACTATACTAATATTTGAACCAATATTTAATAACTATACCAGGTTCCAAAATATATAGTTATTTTAATATTAAAAAAAAAATTAATATTTATATAGATATATATTTTATATTTTATATTATTAATTTTTTGTTTAAAAAATTTTTTAAACAAATTTATTCAAAATACAATTTAAGAAATATACTATATAATTTTATAAATTTGTAGCTAATTAAAGTTGTTTTTATTCGTTTAAAAAAATTAAAAATTATATAGAATTCGTAATTAAAATGCTGTATTTAAAATTTATAATTATACATGTACAGTATATTAATTAAAGCAAAATAATTATTGCAAAATTTAATACGTATTTAAAATTTATTTGCAAGCTACAGTATATAATAATCAAAAGATATGCGTAAATAACAAAATAAAATTTACTGCATACACATATATGATATCAAACAATTACGTAATTAAACTTGTTTTACCATCTTATCTATTAAAATAATAAATACAGTACAAAATTACAAAAATTATTTAAATCAATGCATTATATTAATTGTATTAATAAAATGAACAGCACAGAATTTTTAATGCAGATAGAAGCTAGGCATTTTGAAAGAAATTTACGTATTAAGATTATTATACGGACATGAAATTGATACTACTGTACTATAGAAAATAGAAATAAACACAGGCGTTTTGTAGTATTTGTATACACGGTATATTAAAGTGCAACGTTTATTTAGTGATACAGATTAAATTGCTATCTCATAGTCACGCGATAGTGAAACTCGCACAATCATGAAAGCTTTGTCTTTTCCTAATATATAAATGTCAACATATGTAATGTTCACGTGATCATAAACGTGCCAGTTCCAAAATGACGAAGTCTGTTATCATGAAACCTACGATAATTAGAATATAAAAATGTCAATCCGAATAAGCAACATTACACAGAGACTGAGTGACATATTGTGGGAAAAAAAGTCGGTGAAATGCGGGAATAATATTGATTCGGTTGCATAATACTTGATAAGACAATCTTTATTCCACTGTAAACTATAGATAAGATCATAGGACTATCAAATGAAACGAGATTATCTCTTTAATCTTTAAATCATTCTAGGTCAGACGAAATCTGATTTTTATTCAAGCACATGCTGGCTGGTAAACTCTCCCACGCAATATGCCTCCATTATGCCTCCAATATTGCCTTTAATGTGTCTTTAATGTGCCTTCAATGTGTCTTCAATGTGCTTTCAATGTGCCTCCAATATTGCCTCCAATATTGTCTCCAACATGCCCCAATATTGTCTCCAATATGCCCCCAATATGCCACCAATATTTCACCAATATGCTTCTAGAATTTGTCTACAATATGCCTATAGTTTATTTTATATGTTTACAGTACGGCAATATGTCTGTTCGATACTAATTTGATCTGAATGCCACAGTATAAAATATATTGATATATTGCTCACCCAAAAAAAAAAAAAAAAAAAGGTTACACGAACAAGAATAAGTGAGATACTGCTTAGATAGGAGAACCTCAGAATGCCTTTCGAGATGCAGATATTCAAGAATATTTTATCTTTAATTTCGCAAATCTACACTTTGTATAGATTCAGAACATTTCATAATCGTACAGTCTACGCCCACTCCGCTTGCGTTTATATTGTATTCAAAGAGCAATCGACGATATCTGTTAATCTGTTTGTAGCATACAGCTGATAAAGTCTTATCGGTATTTATAGATCACGATAAAATAAATATGTTGTGCACAGCCTATAAACTGGTAATAGTAATGAATAATAAATAATGAATAGTTGACTATTACAAAAAAAAAAAAAAAAAAAAAAAAAAGAGATCATTGATAAAAAAAAAAAAAAAAAAAAAAAAAAAAAAACCCTGATACTCCACATTTTATTTATATAAATTCACAATACATTCACCCCCCGTGCAATTGATTTTCTTTTTTTCACACGCGCTTGGTTTAATTCACACTTTAAACGTAATTTTATAAACGTATAAATACATCACTTTGTAAAAAAATATATATATATATATATAATAAAATAGTAATAAATTTTTTTTTTTTTTACTACTACAATTACTACTATTACAACTATTACAACTATTTTACAACTACTACTGCTACCATTATTACTACACTCTATTATTACATTCTTAAATGAATGATACTTCATCTTCAGTATTCCCTTCGCAGACGAATTCCTCTTTAAACTCTCCAAAATTTCAAAATTCAAAGTTTCATTTCTCTTCAATGGCTACTCAACAACCTCAAATTTATGGCGAGCAAGCATTAGACCACAGATATCATCAATATATTGGTAGCAATAATATGGAAACGCTCTTGAATGCCATCGAAGTATCTCCTATGTCTCCTGTCAGTTTGTCTCGGAAATTACAAATTTTAAACCCAAAAAATATCGGCTCAAATACTTCGGTATCACAAGATGAAATTTCGGACCAACGCTCATACCATCAAGATGAACGTACTAGATATGAACAAATTCATAGATTACTACCTCCTCCAATCTCAAAAAATATGCTTCCCGATGCAATGTCTATCTCTTCGTTGATAGATTCGGACCAACCGATAAAATCTTCGTCTCCTCTTACTCCTCCAGATACGTCTTTAACTTTCCCGGGTCTTTCTACTTCCCCAACAAAAACTTCCCCTGCTACTTCTCCAGTTCCACTAGCTTCTATGCTACCCTCGGCTCCTATGTCTGTCCCTTCTCCTACTGATTCTATTCCTTTCCCTCGTTTACAACCTTCACCTCCTGCAAACATTTTTTTAAATACT